AATAATTACATATATGAATAGGTAGAAATAAGTAAAAGTAAGTAAAAGTAAGTTAATTACATAATATTTGTTATGAAAGCTTCCAAAAAGCTTCATAGATACTGCTTTGACTTTATAGGTGTCTTTAATTGACTTTTTGGATTAGAAACGTAGTCAACAAGTTGGCCATGTGCCACACATATTGTTAGCTTGAAGACCAAGCTAACTATGTGGCCACACGTAGAAAAATTTGCCTTGTAAGTTAAGGCATGTGTCCTACAAAGTCAATACATATTAGAGGTCTTATAAAACATCGCCACGTAGCCCCTAGTTAGATAGTATATATAGAGACAAGAATGAAGCCCTCTTCACTCTTATCAACTCCTTTCTTACTTCTAGTCTAGTTTCAAGGGTCTCTAGTTTTCTTGTCTTTTGGCAATAGCCATTCCAGTTTTTTTTTTAATATACATATTGAATTATTTTTATTTTTTCATCTTTCTTTGATAGAAGTTACACTTGTTTATTTGTCTTCATCAAGTTCTTGTCCTTGACATCTTGACAACATATTTTTTAGAACTCTAGCCCATCTTTCTTAATATTGATTGTGTATTCATCTAATTAATCAAGTTCTTCTTAGCTTTCTTATTCAAACTCTTTTGTTCAACTTCTTGTATAATGTATCTATGATAGATAGAGTATATCTATTCTTGATAGTGTTTGTTTTGAATCCTTATAATTTACATACATATACAATATTCCATTATTTTTCTTCTTAAGTAAAATAGAAGTACTTCCTTGAAAATTTGAATAATATATGAAGTTTTTGACAAAGTTTTCATCAATATATTTATTGAATGCAACCATCTTATTTTACAATAAAATATAAAATAGTCTAAATTATAGTTGAGTTTTTTTAAAGATTAATAAAAATAATTATAAATAGAATATCCTAAAATAATATTTATATTTTCCTTATAAAAAATCTTTATAATCTTTATATTGGTTTAATGTACTACTTAAAGTCTTTCTACCATCAAAAATAGATGTTGCATAAATAGCAAAAGGTGATTTTTTTTTTACAACATGCATGAAAGTTCTTATATAAATCAATAAGAATTTGGATATATTAGAATTTGATTTTTTATTAAAATAATAAAATTCTAAGTTATGCAATGTAAAAAATTAAGATTATAATAAATTTAATCTATTCAAGAATTATACTATTCTAGCCATAATAAATCTAAAATAATTGGGTTGGAAAAAAATCTAATAATACTAAATATTATTAAGCTATTATAACCATTAGTTTTTAATTTTATAGAAATAATTTTATAGATAAAATTTCCAAAAAAAAAAAAAAAAAAAAAAAAACAACCATATATAGCTTCTATATGTACGGAATTAGTTTTTTTGATAAAAGATAATTGTTATTTTTTACAAAAAAATTATCTATAAAACAAGATGAGACATTTGAATCTAAGAAAAAAAAGATATTTTAATTTTTTGGTCATAAAATAATATGTATTATAAAATAAGGTGAAGGATTTGAAAAATCTAAATCCTAAATCCTAAAATAATTCCAATTAAATCTTAAAAAATCCTATATCTTAAATAAACCTCATTCAAATTTTTTAAAATTTATAATCAAATCCTAAACAAATTCTAATCAAATTCTAAACAAATTTAAAATCCTAATCCTAAGCCAAATCATAATTAAATCCTAAATCCTAGTCCTAAACCAAATCTCAATGAAATCCTAAATCTTAATAAAATCCTATTAAATCCTAAACAAATTCTAATCAAATCTTAGACAAAATTTAATCAATCCTAAATAAATCCTAAATCCTAAACAATCCTAAAATAATTCCAAGTAAATTTTAATCAATTATTATTTCTATTTGAAACCTCAATAAATATAAATTGAATTATAAATCTTGACTAAAATTTCATCTAAACTTCAATCAAGAAGCAATTAATAAGCATATAAAATTTGAAAAGAATCAGACTTACCAATTGAAAGAAAATCTTCCAAAACCTCTCACTCATTGACTACCTTCCTGCTCCAATTTGAATATTGATCTTTCAACATCAATTTTTCATTGCTGAACTATTCAATCATTCTAAAAATTGGATTGTGTATAGATATTCAAGTCTTAATTTCTCTCACTAAATTTTGCTTCAATCCAAGTAGTAAATATTGCTAGTTCTTGGAATCACTTACCTACCCTAAAACCCTTATATGCTTCAATCTAATAGCTTGAATGATTTTAAATTTCTTACATACATTTACAACTAATAAAATAATATACTATCCAATTTCTACTTATATGTATGCTACAAAATTCATAAAATCTTGAAATCTATAAACTTATTTTTATTTCTCAAAATCTAAACCCGTTGACTACATCATTAACTTTGAAATTCTCTCAAAATCTCAATATTAATCCAAATGATATGAAATTAATACTTAATCTCTCATTGAGTTTGCTCTCAAACTTTAATTTTTAATTGACGAAAGAATCCTAGAGTCCTTGTAGGTACTTGGTTTTATATCTTAAGGTTTGATTTTGATCCTAATTGACAATTGGTCTTCTCCATATATCAATTCTTGTCTTCTTAAGGTAATTTTTACTAAAATAAACTCCAAAATTCTTTCTACATATGCTTATATTTTTTATTTTTTTAATCTATCTTATTTATCTTTATTTATGATTTTATAAAATAAATAGTATCTAATTTTATGAAAGAAAATTCTAACACTAATAGATTCTAGTTTAAGGTTTTAGAATTCAATAATATGTATTGTAGTTAAACATGAATTTTGTTGTAAAGATAGAAATTTTATCTCTATTTTTTTTTTGATTATTTTTTCCAAATATAGCAATAAATACTTTCAAGAATGAATTTAGATCATATAAAAATTATAAATTCTTTTCAATTAAAGTTACAAACTAAAAGAAAGCACTTCTAGATAGAAGTGCACCAATAAATCCAACTTGAGTGAATCTATCAAAGTATTGAAAAGGATATAATCTTAAATAGAGCTTCACTTATTGTAAAAATCTTTAAAATATTATTTTATTCCATCATAATTTTCTAGCATACTAATTATTGTTTCTTTTATGTGTATAATGGCAAGATTTCTAGAATTTAATTTTGAAATTGATCTATTTTTTTTTTTCAATTGAACAATATTTTAACATAGACATTGAACCTCATTGTTATTTTTTTTATATTATCTCCATAATTGACAATGGTACTACATGAGATATTGATCTTAAGAGTATAGATAAGCTTATAAAGATCTAAAATACTTGCAAATCTATTTTTCCTTTTGTAAAATATAGCATTTATTAAATTTCTTTCTATCTCTATAATAGATGAATTTAACAAATCTATAAGTCAAATTCATTAGAAGGTAATCCATAATTTCTAATATCAAATAAAAATTTCTACAAAGAAGATTTTTTTTACTTTCTTTCAAGAAAAAATTAATGTTAAAAAAATGCTAATTTATAGGTTAATTACTTGCAACCTTTAAAGCATAATAAAAAAAATGAAGTAATTCACTCACTTCTAAAAAAATAAAAATAGTAAATTAATACTTTTATCATATTATAAAGGACATGAATTTCAAAGAATTGAATTTTCCATATACTCTTTTGTTATTTAAAAAGAATAGATATTCATTCAAAGATAGTATAATATTAAAACTAAATTTACTATTACTAAAGAAAAAAAGACTATAGACTCTTGAAACAAGATGAACCAAATTAACCATATTTTATTTTTATTTTATTTTTATTTTATTTTTATTTTTTTAACATCTAAACTTCTTGACCAAATAAATAAAGCCAAGAACTACAAGGAGCTCATAATTAAATATGTAAAAAAAAGAATTTATGACATTAGTTATGACATTAATTATGATATTTTGTTTCTAATTAGATTTGGTCACTTTAATTGTAATACTATGTGTATTGGACTTATAAATATTTTAACTAATCTTAAATATTTGTTAAATAATATTTTTTTAAATTTTTATATAATTTGATATATATTAATTAAATAATATTTTTATTTATTCTAAAAATAGATAAGAATATAACTAATATATTTTTTTTGCTTTACAAAAATTTAAAAGTAGAAGACTACATGCCAAGATAAAAATATGTGTATATATATCATACAACTTAAGTAAAATTTTGAAAATATACTATTTGAAATGATAGTTTAAAGATGATCTTAAAAATATGATATCAAATTATTATTCACTTCAAAATTAAATTAGGATTATTTTTAAAATTTTACAAAAAATTAAAAAAATTATTATAATTAAAAAATTAAACAAAGAAAAAATATTTATTAATTAAAATTTTATAAATATAAATATAAAAATAAATAAATAACTAACACTTTCTTTTGTGCAAAGATATTCCTAACATGCATAATTTAATATATGTAAAATTTAATTAGTTTGATATTAAATCATGATTTATATTATATTCAATGCCAAAAATTTGATATATCCATATTCATCTATATTCTATGACTCTATATTATCTCAACCTTCAATTCTTTTGTCTTTAAAAATCTTTTTCAAATTAAGTCTTTGAGTAATAAAAACATAAAAGATTATATCCTATTACTATTATTTTTCATCAATGTCAAATAAAAAAAAATTTAAAAATCATTTTAAACCAAAAATAGTTATTTTTATGCAAGGTGTATAGGCAAGGTGGATGTCCACATAGTAAAATGTCTACCTTATAATTCTCAAATATATATATATATATATATATATATATATTTAGGACAAATTTCAGTATTAAATAACTGGGGGTTTGACGAAAGTCAAATAATTGACACCAGAAATAATGACCAAGAAATACAATGTCATGAAGAAAGCAACTTCACCACCTCAAGACAGACAATTTATAAACTAGCCAAATTGATTCAACTTGATAAACAGTTGAGAGCAACCCTGAAATAGACTATTATTGTTCTATGAACAAGGGCAATTTGTAACATGAAACATTTGTAAGAATAAGGGAATCAAAATACATATTCGTGATGTTCCAAAAAATAAACTCAACCAGTAAAGGACTCAAGTTTTTAAATGTATAACCTCAAGAAATTAAAAAAACTACTTAATACATCAATGGATCCATCTCCCAATTGGATGGACTGTTAAGCATTTGCAAGAGCAACCAACTGATCTAAAATGCACTTCAGGGTCGGCCTCGTTGCTTGAGGCGTCATGCAAGAGAAGGCTATGTCTAGAACCTCGTACATGCTTTTCGGGGGTTCTTGCTCTCTGTGCAAACCCACAAGCACCGCATCAAAGCAGTCCACTGGCCGGCATTCCTTCACAGCCACTCTAACCCAATCTGGTAAATCCACAGCTCCAGAGTTGGCAGACATGATATCTCCTGCACCTTTGCCTGTGAGCAGCTCTAACAAAATTACACCCAATGCGTATACATCAGATGCTAACGAGGGTTTAGGCTTGCGTGTGGCAACCAGCTCAGGGGATCGGTACCCCAGGACACCTGCGTTTAAGATCTGATTGGCAGTACCAGCAACAGTCATCAGGCGATGAAGACTGTAGTCAGATACCCGGGCGGTTAATTCAGGACCCTGAAGAAGGATATTGTTTGCCTTGAGGTTACCATGAGGTACTCCATGCTTGTTGTGTAGGTAAGACAACCCACTAGCAACTCCAACCGCTATTTGCAATCGCTGATCCCATGTAAGTGGAGGTTGCTTCCGCTCTGAATTTTCTGTAGCAGAATAGTTAACAATAATTAGATACGACCCTCAGATCTAATGATAGAAATGAAAGGATTGTCATTGATTATCAGCTTTCTTGTTTCACTACACCTCGGGAGAAATATCATTCCACAGATTTACAGAATGGGAACTGACCATATAAATGATGAGCTAAGCTGCCTCTGCTGATGAAATCAGACAATAGAAGCTTCTCATGTTCTCGAGGACCCCAGTAATAACCTCGCAATGACACAACGTTGGGATGCTTGACACCACTAAATCGTTTAGCCTCCCTGGTAAACTCCTTCTTGTTCCTGGCAAGTCCCTCACGCAACCATTTCACTGTGAGAATATGGCCATTGTCCAATGTAGCTTTGTATGACGTCCCGTGGTTGCTTCTTCCTAGGACCTCTGCAGGAGCTCGTGACAACTCCTCAGCGGTGAATAGGAGCGTAGCATCGAGAAAGAAAAGATCGCCAGCCAAGCGATCAGGAGATTTGACTTTCAATACCATAGGGTGCTCGGATGAGACGGAGGCATCATCATCTGAGGGTGCCCCAGCTGTTCGCCACTTCGTTCGCATTGGTGATTCGCCACTCTTCTGTAAATCAAGGGCATCACGTTTGATGTCACTCCTCGCTTTCGGCGGTGCTAATGTACCCTTCACAGAACCCCTGGAAATTGAGGATGGCACACCAGGTTGCTCAACGGCCTCTCCAGCGTCGGCCTTTGGTTTAGTGCCCTGTTCTATGGACTGCGCTATAGGTAACTTCATCGAAGGTCTCAGTGTTTTACGAAAGTATATGATCAAGCATAATGCTGCAATAAGCACTGCTCCAAGAGTAATTCCAACTATCAATCCGACCTTTACTGCAAGATTTACTCGTTTGTGACTGCTTCCCAAACTAACCTGTACTCCAGAGCCTGGATCGTGAGAAGACGGTGCATGTGGCAAGAGAAGATTTGGATTTCCAGGATAAAAAGACGATGTTGAAAAGCCGGCCAGGTTTGAAGGTACTGTGCCTGATAAGTTGTTTCCAGATACATTGAAGCTCTTTAGCTGTAGAGAAAGCCTTGAAGGTATAGAACCTGTCAGCGAGTTCTTGGAAAGGTCAAGAATCTGAAGCTGCACCAGATTAGAAAAACGCCCCGGTATTGTACCCTCCAAATGGTTTGTACTCAAGCTGAGAACAAGGAGCTTACTGTAAGAACCTAATGCGTCAGGAATAGCACCACTTAAATGATTGCTGGATAAGTCTAATACGTTAAGCGGCGAACTTGTTGAAGGTAAGGAATTAAGAATAGATCCTTCGAACTGGTTGTGTGATAGCACTAGCTCGGTGATGGAGGGCGATGCCAAAAACTGTGGAGGAATAGAACCAGAGAGTTGATTGAAGCTAAGATCGAGCACATTCAATGCGAACATCTGCACCAGCGATGCGTTGTCTATGGTACCACTGAGGTTATTGTGACTTAGATTCAATGCCCGAAGGTTGGCACTCCATTTGCTTAACGACATGCTTCCAGAGAAATGATTATCACTCAAATCGACCACACTACAAGACTGTATCTTCGAAGGCAGAGGGCCTGTCATGCTGTTCGAAGCAAGCCTCAAAACACTCATGACTTTGGTAGTCACAAGGCCCAAGCCACCTGCACAAGTCAATAACGAAGAAAATACAAGTGCTTAATCATCACACCCTGCGTCATCGAGTTGGAGGTGTTGAGAAATTCATATTAGCATTCAATTCAGCTGCTGGGTAGTGAAATTTCCCACAGAAAAAAAAAAAAAACAAAACAAAACAAAACAAAACAAAAACAAACAAACAAACAAAAAAACAAGAAGAATTGTGGATTAAGCAGCAGGACTTGGAGGGTTCAAGAGGTTATCAACCGGCAGAGTATTTAACGACTTGATCAAGCAAGTTAGAACTAGAACTGTGGAACATGTGATTGTCACTTCTTCTAACGATGCATATCGTCTATACCACATTCTTCTGCAGCTAAATTCAAAGTTTCTAGGTCAAGTCGTCCATTCTTTACAGGTATGCTATTCATGTGGTAAAGACTTGAGAAGAGTTGGTAGAAGAAACTCAGATGGTAATTGTGATTCAACAGCCTCAACGATGCGCAATAAAGAGTGCATATTGAAGAGGATCGATCGATTTACCGCTAAGCTGGTTCCGACTGAGGTCCACTTCTCGAAGTTGTGGAGTCTGCTCGTTGAACAATTCAGGTGGAATCTGACCCTCCAGCATGTTGTCTGACAACTTCAGCGTCGTAAGGGAGACCATAACCTGCACAGCAGGTATAGGTCCTCCAAACTTGTTCCTACTCAGATCAAGAGTCTTAAGTGTGGTTTTCTGGAACAGCTCCTGAGGAATACGGCCAGAAAATTCATTTCCAGAAAGGTTCATCTCAAGAAGATCACTCTCTGGAAGCGGAGATTCGATGGAACCTGAGAAACTATTGTCGCTAAGGTCCACCACCACCAACTTCGAACCAGTCTCAAACTTAATAGAACCTGAGAAAGCATTTCCAGAGAGGAAGAGACGCATAAGATTTGGTAGCTTAAGAATTGTGGAGATGTCGCCCTCCAACTCATTATGAGCTAACGACAGGTTCACCAGGTGCGGTAGGCCACCGATAGCTTGTGAAATAGCGCCTGCTAAACCACTAGTCGGAAGTAGTAGCTCAACAACTTGGCAGTCATAGCCGCTACTCTTCCGAACTACTCCATACCATTGTACTGGGCAGCCGGCGAAGTCCACATTGCTGCTATTCCATGTGCTGACTAGCTTGCCAACTTTGGTCAACCCAGCTTTGAAGTTGAGAAGCGCTTGTGTCTCTGGCGCAAGTACAGCCCACACAGCGGGGAACGTGCATAGCCAGAGCAGGACCTGCAAAATCCCCCTCGAACTAACCATGTTACTAGTTCAAGATACTGCTCCAACCTTGAACTGCGTCAGCACTTGCTCTTCCTCCTCTTCATCGACAATATAGTCTTATACGAAGTAACTTCCCAAGCTGGAAGCATGATGATCTACGATTATTGCTACTGCTCACGACAAGACTACTGAAGTATGCTCTTCTTAAGTTGCATTGTAAAGAACAGTTCTAATCTTAGCTATGGCCATCACCAGAAATTAATCTTCGTCAAGCCAAGAGCTGGTAGCTGTACATATCTCGACGCTGCCACAAGCAAGGAAACATCGGAATAACTGGTGCTGCATTTCTTGGTTTCATGCAACTTACCAGTGCGACTCCTTAGAGTTTCACAACGATAGGAGAGTTTACAGAGAACGCCATACACACAGCCCAAAAGTCGGCAATAGGCATTGCCACGCAATACACCTAAGCCAAAGCTTTCCCACCTCAGAAGAATGACAATCTACTCAATAACAACGTTGATTCTTCAAAGGAACACACCCACGAGCTCAACCAGGTTATAGACCAGATTAGAGGTCTCGGAGGACTGCTACCTTCCTCTTCAAATACGGCTTACACGCAGCCTCTCCTTGCAAACCCACCATTGTGTCACCACCACATGTCGCTTCACTCAAGACATGTGCAAACAATGTGCAACTCCTGCTGTTTCCTTCGCACTATTGTCAATATTTTCGCAAGTTTCATCAAGTGACACAACCTACAGTGAATGTTAGCATTACCGCCAACTGCTACAATGTCTCTCGAGACAAAAAATAATAGCCACTGGAAATAATGACCCAAAAAACATGAAGACAACCGCGCAGTGGTAAACCCAATTCGCTGGATGGAAGAGAATTAAAACCTCACACATCCAAATTTAGTTGACTGCAAGAGTCCTCAACATGTTCTGGAGATCTTCACCCGCAGTCCATTCCAGAACGCATTAACGACGAACATAGAGTCCGCGTGTCCGGTGTATTTATCGAGGTTTGAGTTAACGTATTGCAGTGATCAAGTTTCCCTACATAGTGAAGTCAAGTTTCTTCCATTCGTAGATCCACCACCAAGTTTCAAAGACTCAATGGTTTACAATGCCCTCTTAGAGTAAGTTATTACAAATCGCATAATTGTGGTTGATCCTGAAAGATCGAACCTGAAAGCAAATTCAATTGAAAGTCGATGCTGTTTAGATGGTGACAACCAAAATGCAATGGTTCTCGTTATCCAATCGAGACACCCACTGTTGTGCTGGACGTTTTCTTTCTAGTCATGGTAGTTCTCCCCTACACCTCGGCCAAGTAGTACTGTTGCAGGATTTCCAGCTCGGCTCTTCCTTAAGCTTCCCAAACCGGTCTGTGCGTGTGAAGTATTCCTTCCAGATATTCGCGATCTCCGTCAAAATTGTAAACACCATTTGAAACTCTTGCTTCTCTCTCAGGATTACCGAAATTCCGGAAGTCGGAGTACAAATTAATGGTACGAATCCAATGATTACTTCATTACATGAAACTGCCACAAGAAGACCTACACAAATAATTAACAGTTAATCCTGTCTTTAATTTGAACACCTCCTTGGATACCCTTCTCAAACCACGCCATGAATGCGCTTCTGAGAGGGAGGCAGAGAAGCTGTCAGAAAATAGCTTAAACGTGGGACAACCGGACTGATGGAAGAGTAGGGATGTCAGGCCATGCAGCCGTCACAATCCTTCCATCGAATTGCTAGTTTTACTGCCTCCAGGTTGATCTGGACTGTGCAAAAGTTTCTCTACTTGGATGTAAATTCACCACATTCAAGTTAGAAAGTTGAGTGAAGTAGTCCTACCCCAACAAAAATTACATTTAGGGAATCCTTTCTGCAAGACTTTGCGCTTATTAATGGATTTAATTTTTTTTTTTGAAACAAATATAGGAAATCCTTTATTGCCATAGAAGACCAAAAGTTTACAACCGACCCAGCTGTAGGCGGCCTGGGCAGGGGACTGGCTTAACAGATCCTAGAGCTTAAGACTTAATATCATACATGCAGCCATCTATGCCCTTGGGTAGCTGGAGACGTCTGCCTGCTCGGATCGAGGACCCACCGCCCGACCCCGTCGCTTGGCTATGGAGGTTCGAAAACAAATCCCGCCATTGGGCCGGACAATACCCACTGTGGGTGACCCTCTACCTTCAAAGAAAAAACTCCATGATAGCACCACCGCTTTTTGAATCGAAGTGCAAGTTTCGCACTGCTAGCTCGTTTAGATTTGCGGTATTTACAAATTGTTGACCACTCGACCCAACCATAGTTGAGGATTCCGAGCCACACCATTTGGAGTAGTTTAGTCGAGTGCAACCTAACATCATTAAAGACGAGGTCGTTCCGTTCCGTCCACAATGTCCATAGAATGATTGTTCTGAGCTGCGTCCATATGAGGGTGAATTGAACAAATTTTTAGGGGATTCTTTCTGAAAAAAGCCCTTGACGCCAGGAGAGAGGTTGCCACTGGCTCTACTCTCCACCACCGCAGATCAGCAAGTGGAAAGCGAGTGGTCGATGTGCCTTCTCCACGCGTTCATAGCTTGGTGCCAAAGTAACCAATGTAATCATGATTCTTTGCTTGCGTGTTGTTTCACCCAGTCTGTTTTCCATCTTAGACGGTACGAGGATGATAGTATGTCAAGCGATTTTTTCATGACTGGATTAGGGATAACATGCTTCTTTCAAAGTAATTCCTAGCCCAGTTTTGCAGTGTATAGCGTGAGGGGGACAGAGCCCGTCGGGGTGAGCCACTGGAATTTTTTGGGTCCCAACATAGCTGCGCAAATTTGCCATAGAACATAAACATAGGCTTTCATTTCTACCCCCTCCAAATTTGTATCACTCGAACTTGGTGGTGAAAACCTCAAATCAAGTGGCTAAAGCCTGTAGATTCTGGCTGTAGCCGTCGCAAGGGAAGGAAAATGGAGAATCTGGGCGTTTCTTGGAGAAGGGAGGAGACTCGCAAGCCAGTAGCTGCCCTTCTTAAATCTGCTAGACTACCATCAAAAGGGGGGGCGTCTTTTTGAGAGGAAGACTCCCAACCATTCACTGCTACTTGTTGGGAAAGACCCTTGTGAGAGAAGCAAGTTCCAATGGCTTATCAATTAGAGCATGGCAGCAACCCAAGCTCCGGCTTCCTCTACTTTGAGTCCAAAGCGTGAGGCAGCTTCCTGCTATGAGAGAAAAGTTGACTCTAGCATCACCTACTCATCTTAATCATGCTTTATGCAGTTGTGACGCTCTAAGCTTCGATAATCCAAGGCCAGAGGGCTAGTGACTATCATAAAGATTTGCTATAGACCTCCTTAAACCTCCTTAGAAACTTTATAAGGGACACATTGTACATCTTTAACCTAAAGCATCTATGGTGACCCAATCCATGTCCAAGCCTTGGAGTCCTTCTTTGCTTGGCAATGAAGATGTATAAAGTACTCCAAATTAAAAGCCCATCTTGTATAGGACTAAAAGAGACTAAGTTTGAATTTGAGAAGAGCATTGAGGATGGATGTATCAAGTTTGCATGCCCTAAAGATCCATTTTACTGTAAGAGAGGCTAAAGCATCAATAGATTAAGCATATTAATGCCTCTCTTGTCCCTAAGTTGACAACATTAGAACTAAGAGACCTTTGTTCAAGATCATAAAAGGTTTTTAAATGACATGTAACTTTGGACTTTGAATCTTGCTTTGACTAGCGTAGCTATAGTTCCGCCTCAAATGGTAGCAAAGAAAAAGGTAGAAGATAAAAGAATCCTATTAACTACCATTGCTCTCCCAATAGAATTACCTTAGTAATACTCCAATATTTCAACTTGCAATCAATCCACGATGTTAGAAAGTTGTCAACTACTAAGAAAGATAAATTCATATCAAAAGGAATACTTAGAAGCTTGTTTATACTTCTATCTTTTACCTATGTGATTTCTAAGTTGATTGTCTAAAGAGGCTGAGGGTACTAATAATTATATAACTTGAGTCAATTAAGCACAAGTCTAGAGCTATAATAGAAAGAATTTAGGACTTACAAAAAATTCTTTATAAGTTCTTCTTTTCTACTCAAAATCAAGGAGGTGTCATTGACAAACTATGCAATGATCTATTATTTTTCTTTAATGGAAAGAAAAATTTGTTTTACTAACCCTTCTTCTATTCTCTTCTTAATTATGTAGTTAAAAATCTTAGCCAAAATAAAGAAAAGATAAGGAGCTAACAAGCAATACTAATGCACTTTTCTTGTAATAACAAAAGAAAAAGACTAGAAACCATTTATTTTTACTCTTGCAGATGCATCAATGAATAGTAGTCTTACCATGGTTATAAATTCTTGGAGGAAGCTAAATTTTTCTATTGCTTAAAAGAAGAAAGATTAATCTATCATATCATAAGCTTTCAAGAAATCCAACTTAAAAAAAATTAGAAGCAACTTTGAGTGAGCCATCCATTCTATTGTCTCATGTGTAAGTTAGATATTATCTAGGATAAATCTCATGGATAAAAAGATTGATTGATCAAAGAAAATAATCTCTATGAAGATTGGCTAGAAACATATTTGAAGTACCTTAGTGAAGAGCTTATAGGCCATATTAACAAGGATAATAGGACACCAATTGGTCAAGTGAATTTGTATGCTACTTTTAAATAATAAATATATGAAACCACATATAACTCATGAAAAGTGTTGATCTTTAATTCCTTTCTAGATCATCTCTAAGTAGTTTGCTTTGATAAGATCTCAATTTTTTTATAAAATTTAATAATGATCTTGTTGTTGTATGGCGTGATTTTTTATTTGGAAAAACATTAGGTACTTGGTTGTAGAGAGTTTAGCTTTTATTTATTGGTCAAGATCCAACGAGTGATTTATTCCTATTATATAAGGTAAATAAATGTAATAATAAAAAATTATACTAATAATAAAAAACTTTTATATTGAAGAAGATTTATACATAAGGCTTTTTAAAGCATCTAAAAATATCCTAACATCCTTTGCTATACCAAATCATAATTAATTATTTGCTAATAAGTTTGATTTTTCATAAGCTCAAAGAAAATCTATGATCCTCTTATATAAATCCATCTTTATATCAAAAATTCTTCATAGCTCTATATCTTTATTTTTAACATATATATATATATATATATATATATATATAATCTCGGCTTCCAAAAATCCCTTTACTTTGTATAAAATGTCCAAATTGTAGCAACCCTTTTCAAAATATTTTTCTCTCACAAAGGATTTTTCTATCTGAATTTTAGAAATTTATATCTCTTGATCTAAGCATTTAGATTTTCTCAAATTTTTAGATAATACAGACTTTACCTTTAGGCTTTATTACATAAAAAAAAATTAAAAAAAATAAAAATAAAAATAAAAAACCATAAATCTACTGCAAATTGTTTGGCATCTTAGAAATCTTAGCAAGTACTTAAAATCCTAATTTATAAGCACATGAGTATTATTTTCTCTATATCTCAAAAATCCAAAACTTAAATGCCACAAAATTTATATATTAAATTTAATAACATGATAATACATATTGTTAGAAATTTTGAGCTAAAATCTTATCAAATTACTCAAGATAGAGCTCAAAATACAACCATTAGTAAATCAAGTTACTTACTACCCTTAGATTGCAAGTGTTGACTTCAACTTCCTATAATTCCTTCAATCCAACTTAGAATTTATTAAGCTTAGAATTCATCAAGCAATATGTGAAAAGTATAATAAAAAAAGTATTCTCTTTAACTCCAATCATCGACCCTTCATTGCTTCCCATATATATGCGTTATGTCCAAAAGAGTGATAATAGATACAAATCCATTACCTTAACTTTGAATGCCTATATCTCTTTCATAAAAACTCCAAATTATACAAAATTTGCATCAAAACCACAACCAAAAATCTAAAAATTTTGATCTAAGTCTTCTAAGTTCAAATGGCATCCAAAAAATAATTATAATTCTTAATAAGGCCTCAAATAGCCTCCTTAAAGTCCATTGGGCATGAATTTTGGCCAATAACAATGGAGATTTTCATCATCCATCTCCATTTATCTATATGGTTGGCCTAATTATTCTTTTTTATACAAAAATCCTTCTCTAATCTTTTTTCTAATAAATTTTGCATAGTATGTATTCTAAACACTAAATAAAAGAAATAAAATAAGATTTCAAGAATCTCCAATATCTAATAAAAATGGGTGTAAATATATAAAAATATTATCAACATAAAATTAATCTTAATAATAGCCCTTTGAAATTGATTACTTCAAAATAGTAATCT